GATGGCAGATGCCAGAAGTCAAATTAATTTCAGTCAAAACTGCCCTCTGGTAGAGGTGTGTTTTATCAGCTTTCTTCGCTTTTTCTTCGTCCAGCTTAATGATTAATTTGGATACACATACAATACATATGCTCGGATGTATCTTCTTTTTGTTTTTGCATCCATCCAACAATGTATCTCATATTTCTGCTGACAAGCGAGCCCATGTCCAGGCAGGCCCTCGCAAAAAGCAACTTTCTTTCCATTTATCACTGGGGGAAGCCACGAGATTTACCTTTTGTTTTAATCTTTAATTGCATTTCTTGGCAGGCCTTAATTTACTTGTTGCCAAATTGAAATTTGGGCCAATAAAGATAAGCCGTGTGCAATATTTTTGGCGGCTTGGATGTGGGCAGTTCGAGTGCTTTCGAGTCTGTTATGTTATTTTGAATTTAATTGCGAGTAAGCTGAGGCCAAAGCTGAAGTTAATTTGATGGGTGGGTGGGGTGTGTTTATGATACGACTATGGATTGGATTTTTATCGAAATTGGTTAATAAATTAATATTTGCCATTAATTGAAAATCCCAGTGGACTGTGGACTGAACTATGCTTACATTTGATTCATTTTGTAGATACAAATAATCACAGATTTGGATTTGAATTGCTGTAAATAAGCGGTGGACAACGTTATTGCTCCCACGCACAAGCGAAAAATTCAAAAGAGAATTCCCCGAGCCCGCTGTTCTTAGCTCTTGACGCAATTTGTTGCACTTGACTCATTTATCTTTTCTAAGTGGCGCATCACACACACACCCCGTCACACTGCCTGGTGCACAGCACATTAATGTCAAAGGGGCGTGGCACATAAACATATTTTGCGGCATTTAATAAACAATTTTCCAGCAGTTTAAGTTTATTAGCGACCCAAAACTAACTCGAAAAACGTCAGGCTTTTTGCTCATTTGCATTTTCCATTCTCAGGTAGTCAAAACGCTTAAAAAATATAAAAAATCTGAAAGAACTATGTATACACGAGAATATATGTACCTTGCAGTGGCTGAACTTGAAGGCAATTAGCGACAGTTTGTGGTGGCCTTTGCAGTGCCCCTCGGGGCACTTCAGTTTTAATTAGAGTTCTGTTCTCTTTTGATTCTCGGCTATTTAAAATATTGATGGATTGCCAGTTAGCGTGTTAATTAGAGAGCCTTTTGTAAGGCGCCACCTGATGGCCTGAGGTGTTTTTGTCGCGCCCAAATGTTGCAACGAACCCAGAGCCCAGTCTGTGGCTTGTCGGACAGTGGATTATGATAGTAAATGATATGTTGGTCGTGTGTGCATTTAAACCTGATTGCAGTTATTGTTATGGTCCGGCCAATTAGGAAAATGATTGTTAAGTGAGCGAAAGTCATACGCGGTATGGCCTCTCTAATAAACTCCCAAGTTAAGATCATTTCTGGCTAAGGAGTGCCTCGGCTGTAGCAGAGGGATTACATGGCATTCCACTTCCTGCAAGGCCACACCTTCGGCTTGTGGGAGGGAGCACATGAATATGCCAGCGACACCTCGCTAAATCACGGCCAATCGAAAGTCCAATGAATAATTGCACAGCAGGCAGCAGCAAACACACACTGAGAGCGAGCACACAATCGGAATCGGTGCGAGATGGCAGATCGAGAGCCCAGAGACAGGTGTCACACATAAATCTCTTGCGAAATCAGAGGAGATGCAGCCGGGGCACAGGCAAAGGCACTGGCAACAAGCAGAGCTAATGATACACGGCAACTGCCACACATTCAATCGAATACCAATTACAATGTTTGACATTCCGCAAACTCAAAGATATACCCCACAAAGGTGCGCGCTGCTCCATTTGATTGATTGCCCGGTGGTGGTTTTATTTTCAATTTAGTGGCTTGTACTTTTTGTTTAGTCTTTAACTAATCATTAATACGTGATGCTATCGAAATTGTGGATAATTAACGCCATATTTGTTGCCAGCGCTGGACAATTAGACGAGGCACAGACCAAAACACGCTAAAAATGTAGAAAAAAACCCAAAAAAGTTAAATAAATTGCATGCGCGATAAAAATCGAATTCGCGTTTGCGTTCGCGTTTTTCCTAATGGCTGAAAACCGCGTTGGAGTCGCGCGCAAGTCGCTCGGAAACCGCTCGACTGTATATGGAACTTTTTTCTACCATAATGCAAACTATTTCAAATTTGAATCACAGACATTTTCGCGACTTGATTTGTCGCCTGTGCATGTCAATCACAAGCGCTGATTGAGTGTATTTCTTGTGCAGCTCATAACACGATTTCCAAACGATAATTAGACACAGCGAGAGGGACCAGAGACCAGAGACCCGCAGCTGCCACTTGATCTAATGACAGTTCTCAGAGGCACAGACACAGACACAGATACCCCACCATGCTCAGTCAGCAGTTGCCTAAACGACTTCTGGTTTGTCTTAAGTCTTAGATAGAGTTACGTTATGTAAAGTGCTACCAGCCAAAGCCGCCAACTATCCAAGTATCAGTATACAGATAGCTATCCACGAGGCAGTTGTTTGATCGTACGGTTGGTTCCATTGCTGACACACTTCCGACACACAGCCAGCGAGCCAAGCCATAACCATATCGATAGATACTCGTTTATCTAGGCAGAGAAATGGAAAAGCCTGCCACTTGAGGTTGCTTGTTGTTGCTCCAATTGTCGCTTCTTGGTCAAGAGACAGAGACGGCTCATTGAGTGCTGGTCAGTGGAGAGACAGACAGCCCATAAACTCAATTCATTTCAATTGAACAGCTTTTTCCTGGGCGCATCATCAGCGCAAACTCAACGCAAACCGAACTCATCTCGGGACCAAATCAAAACGTTTCAAATCATATTAATCAGAGAAGCAGCTCTCTGATTGTAAAAGGAAACTTTCTTTCTTTGGCAGTTTGGTGGAATTTTCAAAGGCACGGGCATCGTCCGTCGACTTGTTTGTATTTGACTTAATGGCACTTAGGTGTCGGTCTCGCATTTTATGATCACAGATATTTATATGGTTGCTGGTGCTCTGCTCTGTGGATCTGCTCTGTGGTCTGGCTGTTGATTAAATCAGTGACTCTCGACAAATTGTGGGGAAAAGAAACAAATGTTGCCATTGTTTTCGAACTTCTTTGAACTGTGTGGGGAATCTTCATACTCTCTAGTTAAGGGCAGAAATGAAGGCAACAAGTAGAACCTCAACTAAAGGTCTATCACTCGCTTTTTGGTGGCTTAACTTTCCATTAAATCTTTATTCAGCCACCCAGAAGAAAGCTCCTCGCCTGCAACTTTCGCATCAAATTCAAATCAAATCTTTTTGACAATAATTAGAAATCAATTTACACGTCGGATTGGGATTGGGATTTGGATTTGGCAAAGAGATCTCCATCTCTCTGGCTCTGAGAGAGCGTTCCATTGTTTGTCTAAGGCTCCTTTTTGGCTGTCAGCTCAAAGTCCGAGTCCGACTGGGAGTCGAGTGGAGTCCGCGGGGCCGCCAAAATGGGTAAAAGCAACAGCAAAATTTACATTCATGTCCATGTCATGTGTCCGAGAGACTTGTGGCACGTTTATGTTTGCTTATGCGCGAGTATTAAACTCTTAAGTGAAATCCCATGTCACGTGTCAGAGAGCGGGACGATGACGACGGACCGCCGTACAGCCCCCGAAAAATTGAAACTGAGAACTGAAATCAATTGAAAATCGCTATGACTGCCTCATAAATACTCGTAAATTCGTATGCTGAGAGTAGAAGCAAAGTCAAGTAAGGATTTCAATTGGTTAGAAAGCAGAAGACCCAAGCCAGCCCGCCCCTAGCCCCAGGCGACTGGCAGCCGCCTGACTGACCCAGATTCCCTCCATCTTGCAGCTCCTTCTGCAGGCCCCCAACCCAGCTTCATCTTCTGGTGGAAAACAAACTGTCAGTTTAACCATTTGACAGTCGCTTGCAGATACACAAGCCAAGATATGAGATACGAGTACGAGACTCTCGAGTATCTCCCAGCTACTTACTGCCGCTGCATCCTGCCAGACAAGATACATATCTGGCACTGGCGATCTGCTCTAGCAGATCTCCTCCAACTACGACTCTGAGTCTGAGTCTGTGTCTGACTCCTCCTCCTCCTTCATCTTCGATCTTTTGCCTCCTCCTTTTGTGGGGCTCCCAGCGGCGCCCGACAATTGAAACTTTTGCGCCGTTTTGGCGTATTTAAAGTGACATTTGCTGACAGTCTGACGGCGATGATCCGCAGAGGAGGGGAGCAGGAATCCCAGATCCATCTCTGATCTCCGATACAGCCCATGCCTAGAGTCGTTGCACGTCGTTAAACGTGTCCGTGCAGAAAGGTTTCTTGTTGAATTTCAATCAAATTAAATTAATTAAGAGGATGGAGACGGTAATTGTTTTGTAGATCTACAAAAAACCCACAAAGCAAAATAGCGAGGGTTGCTTGGGCAGTTTTGGTTTATCCCGAATTTCTATGATCTGCATTTGGTAACAGCTTTTCCTGTGCCACCCAGAACCCAGACAGAACTAAACATTTATTGCCACTTAGCATCTTTGGGGCATAAAACAAATTGCTTCACACTCTCTCTGGTGGCTCTGATTAAAAGAAAATCAAAGCGTTTTACGATCGCCTACGTTCCCTCCTGCTCTTTCAATCATGAAGTGTAAATGGGTGGGGGAATGGTAATGGGAACCGGGAACTTCTTTGTTATGATAACCCAAAATGAGATACAAAAGCGGCGCTAAGCAATGAAAAGATGAACGGAAATGGGAAAAGTCGTTTCAGACAGTCAGAAAAAGACAGAAAAGAGAGTTTTCTTTCATTTTCTTTTTGCTTTTCTTCAGTTCTCTGTGGAGTCTCCTTTCTATTCACTGCAGCGGAGTGGCTTAAGGCATAATCAAGGGGCCATTAAAGCATACACTAGAAACGTTACCCCTCAGAGACAGAGAGGGAGATGGAGAGACTATCTTTAAGTACGCACTCACCTGCATATAGCGGGCCAGGGCCGCGTTCCTCTGCGCATGCGATCTCAGCTGCGGCTGCGGCGATCCCAGCGGACTCACGATGGTGGATGTGGAGCCACCGATACCCGTATCGTAGCCCTGAGCATTGGCGCCATCAACATCTGTGTGGAAAAGAAGAAAGGAAATAAAACATAAGAATACGAGCAATCAAAACGAAGAGTGTTTGCATAAGAGAACTGCAAACTGCCACTAAAAGTGGCACAGACACACACACTAAGACTTTGCGTTAAAAGGCAGTTCTGTGTGTAATTTATGGCTGGGAAGATGATAAATGTGGGTTGAGATATTGTTACTGAACTTTGGTGAACTTTGCTAAAGGAAAAAGCACTAAAATCTGTCATTTAGTGGGAAATCTGACGGGACATGCAGTCTGAAGTAGTTCTCAATTAATTCTCTCTTTCTATTTACCGTACCCAAACATAACTCAACTTATTAATTAATAATTTCGCAACAGCTAGTAAATAATTCAACAATCCAAACAATGTCCATTGTCACCACTTTGATCGCCTCTCAATTGAGTTGCCCAATTATCGCATCTAAGGCACCGTAACCCCAAACTGATTGAAGCCGTTTTCCCCCACTGCCAACACTGCCACAACAACTGTATCGGCACCTAATTAGGTATGCTAATTAAGTAGAGCTGAGAGCTGCGGCTGCCCTGATCGGCAGCACTCATAAATAAAGAGCAGCCGCAGCACACACAGAAAAACCACCACTAACCAGGTCGTAAATTGTCACCAGCCGCGAGACCCAGAGGCCCGCGAGAGGCTTTAGCGCTAGTGACATGATCGTGTACAATGGAACAGCCAATAAATCCAGTGGCAAGTGGCAAGTAGTGGCCACTGGCCACTGGCAAGTGGGGCGTGGACAGGCGTACAGGCGAATGGGCCCACATGGAATCGTGTCAGCACTTGGCTAAAGACAAACATAACTTTCGGTTTTCATGGGCTTCTGCTTGGGGTAGAAGTTTTTCCACGTCTGTGACTCGTGTGTCGCCTATTTGTATGAAGTTATCCGACAAAACAAAACGATTTCTGCATGCCAAGCAATTTCTACACACAATTGGCATATTAATTTTACAGAAATAAAAGGGAATGCAAGTATCAGACGATCCACTGACTGACTGAAATGCATTCAAATTGCAAGAGAGGAGTTTAAAGGTTCTCTGGTAAGGGTTTATCCAACTTCAAAGCTGACATAACTACAACCCAAAAAAATTTCCTCAACAAATACTTTGACTGCGTTGCAATTTCTTTTGGCATTTGTTAGTCGCTTGTAACCAAATATCTGCTCAGCCTCATATGGATACATAGCCGATAAGACTGCATAACTTTTGTTAAAAATAAAAGGCACTACATACGAGTGGTACTCACCTTTCAGGGAGCTGTTCATGCACATGGGGCACTGATCGTTGCGGAACATGCAGGAATAGCAGCGCTCGTGTCCGCAGGTGTCGATCAGTTTCCGTCTCTTGCCCTTGTCGAAGGAGATGCGGCAGGAGGGGCACACAGAGCCGCTGGCATCGTGTTCCAGCAGACGTCGTATGGACTGGAGATCTGTGGAAAGTGGAAGGTATCAAGTGTAAATGTGAATGTCTTCAAAACGGAGAGGGGTTACAATACTTGTACTAAGGACTAAAAGTGTTTCAAAATGGTAATACGCAAATTATACACTTAAAGGGTTGCAAAGGCAGGTGGAATTTTATGTGAAATATTCCAGGAACATATCTAAAGGCAAATAACCCTTCAACGTTCATGAAGATAAATAGATCTGCTAAAATAGGAACGTTTTATTTATCTTTGTATATTTAAACTGTCTAAGCAAAAGAGTTGATTTATCTTATTATCTTGAAACATTTATCAACAATTCAAACGATTCAGATTCTGGGGCAAAGATTTGACTACCATTTACCATTACCCCTCCACGGCTGTGATCTTGCAACCATTTTCCACTCTCAACGTATCCAAATGCAAAAGGAAAACCCAATGGCCACAAACCAACCACAAACAAATGCACAAATCTCAAAGTGCACTTGTTTTATGGCCACCGTTTGCATAAATTGCCTCTCTGTCAATTAAATCGCGGGTTTGTGCAACTGTCAATTGTCTGGGACTCGAACGCGGACTCAGAGTCGGAGACCAAATCCTACGAAAGAAATATTCGTCTCTCCATATCGTTTCTTTGGCTCTGTTTTTGTTTTTTGATCGTTTGTTTGGGTATTTAGCTCTTTTTTTTTTGTTGCTGGCAACCATTCAATCCAATGCCAGGAGGCAGCAATCAGCGGCATTCTTTGCATTGGCTGCCGCTGCTGCGCTTTAATTGATTTAATCTGCGGCTGGTTTATTATTTCTATTAGCACTTTGTCTTTTTGTGTCAATATAATGTACGAGTACCACTACGACTAGCTCGTAAAAAGGCTTGCCACTTGCCACTTGCCACCAAATCATCAGCATTTTTATGACCCAGTGGAACGGAAGTTTTGTTATTGTTTAAACGAAGGAACTGCTGACTGCTGAGCCGCAGGGCAGTGGCAACCTTTTCTATCTGTCTTTCTGCAGTTGACAGATGCTTCTGCTCGATGGGCTTTTTTTGTTGTTGCTGCAACCAATTTGTGGCTTTTAAAATAAGTTTACCTCTTGCCATTGTCATTCCATTCCCTGTTTTCAATTGCATTCTGTACCCCAATTATTTGTGCAATTCGAGAACGTCAGTTGCAGTTGCAGTCGCAGTCCATCCACAAGACAGACCCCAACCCCAGTACTCATTCCATAAATTTAGCCACCCCTGAAGCGTCAATTGCTTTTGCTTCTGCCGCTGCTGTTGCATCGGTGGCATCTGCTGTTGCGCCTGCGCACACGACACACCACACCACGCCACACCACACGATGCCACCGGCAATTGCCGTTGACATTTCTGCAAAATGCAAATTGTGTTTCTTTCTGCCTAGGCAAATGTCAGGCGGGCAGCACTTGTTGAACAGAACCCGAACCCCAAACAGTTGTTCATAAATTGTGCCATGTGCTATGTCTGCCTGCCCCTTGCCTTCCTGCAGCGGTTAACGATTTGCATGGTCAGTCCCCATTCCATTCCATTCCATTCCATTCCATGCCATCCCAGAAATGCTGACTTTTTGCCAGTGAAGTTCAAAGATAAGTAAGGTACGAGGAGGTACGCGTAAGGTATACCATTCCATGTGGGTTGTTGGATTACCCGCCACTCCAGACGTGCCAGCTGTAGCTCTGTGGCAGCCCACGCCACTAGCAGAAAGAGCGGGAGAGATGGTGAGCGAGGGGGGATAATACCCAAACTGCGGTTTTTGATTTGCAATAAATAAGCGAGCCAACGAGCAGGAGAGGAAAACGAATGCCGGGTCGGGTCTGTGCTCGTGCCTGTGCCCGTGCGCGAGTGTTTGTCAAATAGTGGGCATGAATGGCTATGGAAATGGATGTGGATGTGGCAGAAGTCGGAGACCCAAGCGCTGCCGCTGCTGCTTGTAATCCACTTTACAAACCAACGACCGGACGTGGTTCTCGTTGGCGTCGTCGAGATCGAGGCATTTGCTCTTGCCAGGGTCCCTGTCTCCAATCTCCCTCTCCCGCCAAATGGGACAGCTGTCGCTGCACGAGTGTACTCCTGCTCGTACTCGTAGTCGTACTTATGCCATCGATAAAGTGTTATCGTCGAGGTTCGACGAAAGTCGAAAGTCACCTGCCGAACATGATGATTTGTGGGCTGGCTTGGCTGGCTGTCCGTCTCTGTGTGGGCTGCTGCTAAAGCGTGTTTCAGAGGGGTTATCGATACTTAAGAAGAAAGCAAACGAATTTGATCTTTACATTGGCACAAACACAAAACATCAAGCATCACGGGAAACCTAACCTAAGCTCCCCACATCTTTCTTTATAGAGGAAATTTATTGCCTGAACAATGGGCAAGAGAAATTCAAAAAATCTCTCACTTATGCAAGTGGATTCCCGGTTCCCGTTCCCAGTCTTTCCACTGTGCACACATTGTTTGTATCTTCTAAATGACTTCCTGTGGAAACCACTCCTTCCTGGATACATCAATAATTATGTGCATATATTTATGTATCTCTGATCTATCCTAGACAAGCAGCTAAATGTTCTGTGCACTAAAGGAAATGTGGTGTAATTTCACGGATCTCAAGCAAATTTAATTGTGCACTTCTCAGGCATAAGCTATGGCCAAAATGAGAGACGACAGTGCTGGCTGATTTATGGAGATGGCTAATGGCTAATGGCTGTCGAGTCGAGTCGAGTTGAGTCCATTGCCCTGCAAAGAAGAGATCAGATCTCTCCTCTTTTGTGCAACAATGAAGCCTGGCATAAAAAAGGGAAAAATGGAAATTCTCGTGGCTGGGAATGCAACTAAATCTAAATTGCTAAATTATACGAGTGCCAGAGAGTACCAGCAGCAAGGGACGACTCTCTTCTCTTGCCCCCGCTGTACGCATGCGCGACGTCTGTGGCGGCTTCGGCAGCACAATTTTCAGTTGTTTTTCGCGACTCGCGTTGCGGTCTGCGCTAAATTGATTTGAATTTTCCCTCGTTTGACCTGCGCTCCCTCCCCACTCCATCGACGGCTGTGGCTGGCTGTGGTTTGCCGGTTTGCCCCCTCAATGGATCCAAGTGGTTTCCATGTGGGCGGTTTATTTCTGCTAAATTGGCAAACCGCGCTCGGCGGTGCTGCTGTTGCTGCCCCGTGTGTGGATCGTATGTGTGGGCGATATCTGCGTGGCTGCGTTTGCCTCTGTCTGTCCGTGGCACTTGTTTTCCTTTATGTAATTTCTTTGCAAATCATTTTCTTAATACCCAACTTGGACGTAATTCAATTTGCGGTTTCTCCAATGTTTTCCACGAAACTTCAGTCCCAAGGGAATGATTTGCTGCTGCTTCTGCTGATGGAATGTGGAATGATGTGCCGCAGAATGATGGTTAGCTGCGAATTTGTAATTTGTAAGTGTACTTAAGTAGTAAATTGGTAAGAGGAATGCTGAAGAAATGTTCTCAGGCAGCGCACCGCAAAAGGGCAACCCGAACAAAGCAAAGAGTTTCTAGTGGGAACGATGGAATTAACAAAACAAAGTTCCACGAGCGAACCGATGGATAGAAACAAAGTTCCACTAAGGAAATAAATAATGCAGAATGGATCCTTATATGGTTAATTGGAAACAAAAAATGAATTGCGGAAATACGAATGAAACTAACAAATGATGAAACGTACCAGACACAAGACAAAGCTTTTAAATATCTTTTGGGTAAATGTTATGATAATTATAAATGCCACGAGTCCCCACCGTGTCCATAGGAAATACTCTAAAGCTTACAAGAATGCGAATCCAAGCCCTTTATCTGTTCATAATCTCCCATCGAATGGAATAGAATAAATCAGAAACTGGTTTCTGATTTGATGTGCCTTTAAAAGAGATATGGCCAAAACAAAAGCCAACGTGTTGCTCTTGTTCTTCTGCTTCTGCGAACAGTCTGTCAGTCAGTCATTAAGCAGCAGCCAAGACACGAAAAAGCGAGACAAAATGTGTAAAAAAAGTGTCAAACTGAAGTTGTAATAAAAAAAATACGCTAGAAAAACACGAACACATTTAAATAAAATGAAGCATAAAATGAATCTCGATTGTTGCTTAAATATACTCGTAGGCAGAACAATAGTTCGTTGTTAGACAGGCGCACAGACAGGCTAGGTCAGGGCTATTCTAAATAGTTAATTGCAATATCAGATAGCTCAGGGTCAATGGGAGAAACGCCAGACCATGCCAGAAGGAGGGAAAGGGCGACATAGCACTCCCGCAGAGCCACTGCCATTGAAAAGTGCGTATTCATTACAATTGATTGACAGACATGGACTGAACTGGACTGGGACTGGACACAGACGCAAATCAATTCATGCTTGAAGTGCACACCCAACGGACCATGGACCATTTACCATTTACCAGTCACCACAGCTTACCACTAAAACCACCAGAGTGAGGCTCCAATGGGGGGGGGGGGGGGGGGGGCACAATCGACAGACGGGCTTTTGGCAGCCTAAAATCAGATTTCAGCAAATGTTAGTCCAGTGGCATGGAACATTTTCCCTTCCACTGTAGCGATTTTCCATTGTTTTCCATTGACTTTGGCCTTTGGTTTTTGTATTGTTTTGTTAATATTTAATTGCTTTTTAACATATTTTTTATAATCATATTGTATTTTATAGATGATCGTTATTTTATTTAAGGCCCTTTGTTTTGGTTCAAACATTTTCAAGTTCAATGCGTGGGGTGCAAAAGTTTTGTTTTACATTTTAAGCTTTTGCGTGGGTCATGGTTCAGCCTCTCGGCATGAAATTCATTTGGATTGTGTGTGGTAAGAGTGGTATCTGTGTGGATTCCGTTTGTCAGTGAGATGAGTCACCTTTCCTACGAGAGTCGGAAGTGCATGGATCAGCAGAGGTGGTAATTACATAGGTACATTTGTGTATATGTATTTCCTGGGATGGATCTGCAATTTGCATTATTCAGTGGAACTCATGGAGATGAATTTTG